TCTGTCCAAGTCCTGTGACATGCTTATCCTTCAAATACAAAAAGTAAAAAAAAAAAACAAAAAAAAACCATCTTTTGTATTTAAGAAAATCAGCATTATGATTTTACCAGTTTTTCCTCATAACTGGCGTATTTTCTCTCGAATTTGGCTCAGCAAAGTGAAACAGGAAGTGACGTCAAAAGAAAAGAAACTCTGGTCTTTGTTTATTGAAACAATCTTATTTAAACTYTTCACCTCTCTGATAGCGACTCAAAAGTAATCTAAAGAAACATCAGATTGTTCTCAAATCATTGGAGCATCGCTCTGTTCACATGCAGACATTCCCCTTTGACATCACTTCCTGTTTCTTTACATGCAAATGTCTCAACAACGGTTCATCTCAACAGCGTGAAATTTGTTTTCGCGATATGTTTTCAGTGTTGTCTTTCCAAAAATGCATTCACATTTATTACAAAAATTTGATGTCACGGGCACTTTAAAGCCCGGACCGCTTCCTTCTGATGAGTGTAATGATCTTTTTTCTCTTTTCTGACAGGAGACGGTTCTGTTTGAGTGGATCAATCCCCTGTATTTGGACATGTCTTATCATGAGCAGATCCAGGAGGAGTTTGAAGACAGTTCTGAAATTCAGCTTAAAGATTTTCTCAAGGTAACTTCTTAATTTCCCTAGGGCTGGGCGATAAARCAGTAACGGTATATAGTGCGATAGACACGCTAATCGCGTGTCTATCGCACTATATACCGTTACTGTTTTATCTTTTAGACGTATTTTATATGGATATAAAATACCTGATGGGTGTTTGTCTTCAGGAGGAGAAGTTCAGGGAGGTGAGTGAAGCTCTGCGACTGGCCCAGATCCAGTGGACCAAGAGAGGTCCGCCCAATAAGAGGTGCACACCGTTCGACAGCTCTGTTTGACGCGTTGGCGAGATTTAATGTCCTGACGTTTGAGGACTTCTGCTTTCAGGTGCTACGAGGCGGCCTCTCCGGAGTCTCTGCCCGAGCCTGTGAGTTCCTGCTGGGAGCTGCTTCGCTCGGAGGCGTTTTTCCTTCTCCTCTCCAACTTCACCGGCCTTCGATTGCACTACCTGTGTCCCGCTGATGATGATGATGAGGAGGAGGATGCGGAAGAGGATGGAGAAGTGGCAGGATCTTCGGCGAGACCGTCAACGTCGGCGGCGGCAGCAAATGCAAGCAGACGGAAAGGTAAGAGTGGGATATTTGTTTCTTTTTTTATTTCTACAGGTTTGTGGCAAAGTTATAATAGTTTTGGATTTTTCATTATAGTTTAGTTTTATTTCGTTGTGCCTTTTTTTCTTTTAATTCAGTTAGTTTTAATTAGTTTTTACAGTGGATTTGCTAGTTTTTAATCCGTGTATGGTTCGTTCTTTGTTTTTTCCGTTTCAAAATAAAAGTGCAAGCACGTGATTTTTTGTTTTTCTGTTTTTAAAACAAATTTAGAAAAACGGCAATTGCAAAAATAAAAAAGGGGTATGTTTTTTATTTACTGCAATGGTTAAACCAAAGACAAGCTTTTACATTGAATTGCTGTTTATCCCAAAATCTACAATTAAACTATGACTTTATTCTGTATGTATTATAGGTACATGAAGGTAATAGGTATGACATAAATGTACATTGTTTATAATTATGCCTCCCATTTTCTCATCATTTTATTGTTTTGGCCTGCAAGAGGACACCCGCTGGTCCATTACTGTAATACACCATGTATACACAATGCCTACAGAAAGCTAGCTAGTATTTACAAGTGTCGCTCATTTTTCACAGTATAATGTCCRTAAACTCTTATACTTAAGTTTGATAATAAATGCCGAAAATGGTTCAAGTGCAGCCATTGCCTATTATTTAAGACTGGTTTGTTTTTTTGCAATCTTTTATCCACTGTAAACTATCCTTCTTTGGTGACTTACTTCATTTCTGGTATTGCTACATATTAAAAGAACCGTATTTTATTTAGATGGCTAAAGCAAAAGTCAAACGCTGTTGATTTTCTATTAATTGGATTTTGCATTTTTACATTTAGGTTTTAAAAACAGAAAAACAAAAAAACAACATGCTTGTTTTGTTTTTGCAATTTTATTTTGAAACGAAAAAACCAAAGAACGAACCWTACACGGATTGTTTTTATTAGTTATTATTGCATTTTTAATGCTTAGTTTTAGTTTAGTTTTTTATAGTTTGAATAAACATGTTTGCCAATGCATCCTCCAGCTTGAGGTGTTACTGTAAGTTAACTAACAATTATTTGGTCGCGAGTTAAAGCAGTCCATTATAGCGACACCTTACTAAAAATAATTGCGTAACTCAATATTGCCACAAAAAAAAAAGGACCTGGGTGATTATTTTAGGACAGTGATAGTCGTCTCCAACCTGGTGCTACTTGTTTGTTTTTCACGTGAGTTACTGAGAGAAGCTAGCGTGTCAGGATAGTCATAGTTAGCCATCTTGTGCGAGCTTGATTTATGCAGTTTTCCCTTGAGAAGTAATCTGCGTTTCCACTACAAGACACTTGCTTAGATTTTTCTCGCAGTCTTATTCAAAAAAATCTCAAAGTGGACTTTGCTGCTAACGATTTGTTTAATCAGTCCACACAGCTCAAAATAAATTGACAAACACTAAAACTAAGGATGTTCTATCTGTAATTTCAGTTAGTTTTAGTTAGTTTTGTAAAAATATTATACAGTTTAGTTAGTTATTGTTTTTTTCATTTTATTACGGTTTTTATTTATTTTAGTTAACTAAAATGTTTTTTAAATTTCAGTTTTTGTTATTTAGTTAGTTTTAGTTAACTATAATAACCCTGGTTTGTGGGCTTTAATGTTTGTGGGTGTTTTAGAGCTGAGCACACCTGTGTGTTGTGGAGAAGTGCGCCGCTGGACTCATGGCAGCTACACTCTGCTGCATGATGGTGAGGCAGCGCAGGCAGAATATGCCCTGGATCTGATTTTACCTTTTGRCTGCACAGGTAAGCACAAATAAACCGAGGGGAGAAAATATAAAAAAATAATTAATCTAATGCTTACAGAAATTGTTTTTTGTAGACTGGCGGTCAGAGTTTGGAGGATTCACCTGTTATGTTGCTAATGAAGAGGATGAAGAGGTGAGTGTTGATGATTACAGTCTGTTACAGTGTATGAAGGTCGTAACATCGCTCATGGAAGCAGCACGTTAATGGAAACCATCACTGCTTTGTTTTCACAGCTTCTCACCGTGCATCCAGAGAACAATTCTCTCGCCCTCGTCTACAGAGACAAAGAAACGCTGAAGTTTGTGAAACACGTCAATCACAGCTCTTCTATTGGCAGTTCGACATGCAGAGAGTTTTATGACTTTTCTTTTGTCTACTATGAATAAATTTCTGTATCATATTTTTTATTTTATTTTTAAGGTTTTTACAACGTCCAACTGATTAATTTTTTAAAACTTTTTAACTAATCAACTTTTTTTCTAAAGAGCATTTTTGAAGTTGTCAGAATGAGCCGACAATTAAACCAAATAACAATAAACGATCTATTTGCTACAGCCAATACAAACTGAATTAGTAATTTTTATACGACAGCAGTTACACCATACAACTGAACAGCAATATAAATTTTTTTTATTCCTGCTGCTGATGAAAGTTCAGTTGAGTTCTTTTTATGCAAATAAATTTCAGCTTTTTTGAGTTCTTGAAGTTTTTCATTAAATCAACATACTCATACAGCTATTAACGTTTGTGTTATGGAGGAATGTGACACAAACTAGAGCTAGATGTCTTTGTTGGTAAACAATTGGCCACATAGGCAGAAATGCACAAAAATTACTCAAATTGAGTTTATTCGGAGTAAAAATGCCTATAATGTTGCCAGAGATAATAAAAAATATGCAGAAAATCCTGAAGTTCATTCTCTGGTATGGTTATTACAAATGTGAACAAAAATGATCACAAACCAGGTCTTTATAATAAATTAGAAACATTGCAACCTAACCATTGTTGGGAGTGAAATACTAATTTTATCCTTTTATGAGTTAGTTTAAAAAGGTTAGTCTGGACAGGCACTGTAAAGCCAGTGAAAATCATTTTACAACTAAGAAWGAGGGCAAACTGATGTAAATCATTCAGTTTCCTCTCTTTGAAGTATGTTTTTAACCTAAATACATTTCTAGCTTCTTAATTATTAATAATGAGTCACTCGTAAGAAATAATTTAAAGGAAATGTTGACCATAAAGATTAGTTAGGTCCCACAGAAAAAAAGGCATTACTTCCTGTCTGTCATAGTTTTTCTCAGTTTGCTTGCCGGTTCCGACCAATCAGAGCCGGTTTTGAGTTTCGCTCAGCCAATGGGAGCCCGGGAAGCCATTTCGATGTCAGTGGGTGTGATTTCTCAGGCGGAAGCCTCACCGAGCAAATTTTAGGAAAGTTTTTAAGGTAAGTTTCTTCTGACAGTAAAGTTTTACCAGACAGAGAATGAGAACAGCGGTTGGTTAGAGGCTACATCCGTTTGCTTTTCGATCTTTTAAGTTGTGCCGTAAACTTTTTGACGGCATGCGAAGTTTTGCGGCAGTTGTTACTACTGTACGTGACGTTCCACAGCACGAGTTGTGCATCTCTCCCCTTAACAACGTTGATAAGAAGTACACAGAATGTAAAATTCACGACTTTTGTCTTCATTTGGATGAATATACTTACCTAATCTGTTTAAATGTTTATTTAAAAGTTACCCCTAGCGGCAGTTAACGACATAACGTTCGCTGTAACACAAAATCACCTGTAGCTTTACGTGTAGGTTGCGTAGCAACCWTGACTTTACGGCATAAATTCATACAGAAAGCAAAATTTGCAAAGCAACTCCTCAAACTGAAGAAGTCTCTTGGAGGAGAGACGAAACGTTTCACTAAAGAAGAACCCGTCCAGAGGACCTACTTATTTTTTTCTTTTTGATTTTTTTCTACCTGGATTACTGAGATGCACCAGGATGTAATTTCTGTGCACTTGAAAAATGCTTTGCCACTCTTTTTTTCAGTTATTCAAACAATAATGAAACATTTATCTCAAATATAGCCACCTCAAACAATATTACAAACCTTAAAAAAACATGACTCAACATGATCAAGCCAGTAGTTGTAAATCCTCAAAGTACAGAAGTAGTTTTTTCATCCCTGCAGCCCTTTGTGAAAACATAAATCTTAACAGACGGGACGAAATGGAAATCCTTGAAAGAAATTGGTCATGCGGGAGAATTTCCAATCACCTGGCAATGCAGGTGACCTTTTAAAAAATGGCATCACTGAGATTTAGTAAATCTAATTTGAGCTGTAATTAATCTGATATTTGCACATTATAAACCAGTGATCAGTGATTTTTCTGCAAAAATACAATTAGGTAAAAAGAAAAAGAATCAAAGCAGGAAAGTAATTGAACATCTGCCACACGGGACATTCTGCTCATTTCAAAGAAAATCAAAAACAACTCGCATATGTTCCAGTAACAAGTTTCATCTGCTTAGTTTAGAGTTGTTTTGTTCAGGATGACATTTCCTCTGTGAGAAACAAACGTCTCTGAATGATTAGTTTGGAAATCGACTTAACTTAATGAAAAGTTTGTCTGCAGATCTCAACGGAAAACATTTCTGGGAGATTAAAGATTTGTGCATCTGTGTATGAAATCACATTATATTTCTCTACAAGTTCCTTTCCAAGTATACCAGACATGTAGGGATATCAAGCAGGGCAGACAGATGTTGTAGTAATGGTCTGTGGTTTCCAGCCTTTTTGGAGGAAAGAACAATAGTTTTGTAATGCTGGATGTAAATAAATTTTGGACAAAACGTTAAGTAAATTTGTGCTTGGTAGATTATTTCTTTGTTGTAACAGTGCTTCTTGTAAATAAATCGTATCTTTTATGGTGTCACATTTGTAAGGAACATGCATTTGTGGGATGAGCAGTAGAGCTGAGTATGTGGGTTGCACACATGAAGTATTTGCCAAATCTCTGAAAAACAGCTTATTCTGCTGTTGTTATTGACACTTGTTTTGAGCTTCTGTCTATCTTACGATTATTTCCAAGAAGCATTGTTACAACAAAGAAATAATCTACCAAAACACAAATTTACTTTTTTTGTGCTAAGTTTAGTTACGATCTTCTTGGGGGTAAAAAACTACTTTAATGTACTTTTTACTCTAAGTCTGTATATAAACTAAAAAAAAAATGTAAAAAAGCTAAAATTTTCTACATTATTATTGCAAAACTAAAGCAAACAAGTGCACCACTGTTCTTCWCTATCACAATTTTTTTAAACCTTTGTCAGACCTCAGTATATTTGATTGTCTTTATTGTAAAACAGTGTGCTCATTACTTAATATTTGAGCCTTTTAAAGTAGCAGTTTGATATGAAACAATAGGAATACACAGGTGTTATTAATTATAATAATCAAGGTTCTGTTCTATTTAGAAACAGTCACAATCAGTGGGAATCATAACACCTGTATTTTTCTACTGCTGTGAAAAAGGCCCTTCATTAATTACCTTAACAATGGATTTAGAGGTAGGTGTGTGTGTGTGTGTGTGTGTGTGTGTGTGTGTGTGTGTGTGTGTGTGTGTGTGTGTGTG